CACGACCTTGCGCTTGCCAGGCAGGCGCTTTTGCCGCTGAGCTAAATCCCCAGCCCCTGCCCCATAGTTCTTACTACTGAAGAAACAGGCAGGCAGATCCAGAATTGCAGAGTACAGTATATTAGGGATGTGTGGACAGAAGCATGGTCCTGGGTGGTAGCAAGACCAGACAGATCACAAGTGGTCAAGGCAAAAGCAACTTCTTTCAGGCCAGAAGGCAAAGCCAATGTCAAGGTCAGACTCAAGACACATTCTGACACCAAGCACCAGGATCTGGATATAAAGTTCCAAGCCCATAACCAATCTACTGGGATTGGTATGCTGGGAAACTATGCAGGCAAAACCATCTAGAGTTACTCAGAAGCAATCGCAGTGGTTATGACTAAAGGTGGCTATTGTCTTGGTTACTTTTCTCTCAGTGCCGAGACAAAATACCTGACACCCGAAGTTAAGGAAAGAAAGTTTTATTTAGCTTAGTCTGTGGAGGTTGCAATCCATACTCGGCTGGCTCCAAGGCAGGGTGGCATGGCACAGGGGCAACAGTTCAAGGCAGCAGAAGACAGCAAAAGCAGCAACAGCGAAAGAGGTTGGGGGCGTGTGTGGGGACACATCTTTTTTCCTCCCTTATGTTGTATGCAGGCTACCAGCCATCGGGTGGGTGTAGCACTCACACCATCTCCATGCCTGCCTCTTGCACAGGCTCAGGGTGTTTACAAAGTGAGGACCCTGGCCCCTGCTGAGTCACTTACACTTCTAAACTTCTCAAGTTGACACAGTGAACAACATCCTAGAGCAGTAAGGGCATGCCCTACATACACCAGGATGTAGAACTGCTGAGTTACTTAGTTAAGCTTCTAGACGTCTCAAGTTGAGGCAATGCACCAACCATCACAGCTATGGTCAGGTCAAGCTGAATCTGCGCCCAGTTCTAATGCTGGGGAACTGACAGTGGCAAAATGTATCATAAATTAGTGACCCAAAAGCTCGAGATTTAAAGCTTTGCTTTTTTTGTTTCAGTTCTTCATAGAGAATTAGACCAAATAATTATTTCTGGTATTTTCCTCCTAGTAAGCAATTCACTGTTGTTCCTAAGCAGAGGAAATGGAGTTGCCAGGTAGACAATGGGTAGACATTCTTTCTCTCAGACTGTTTCAGACACTGGTCTTTGTCGGGACAAGGAGAGTAACTACCAAGCAATGAGTGCTGCTTAGCTGAGATGCTTGGAACCATTTAAATCCTTCAGATTTGCTCATTTCTTATACACTTTCAACTTTTACCTAATAAACCATCCTTATGTACAGCCCTAAACCAGGGTGTTTGGACCCACTTTAGTTCTGTCCCTCCAAATATGCAGATGCTCCCCCACACTAATTGTCCAGGACCCCACCCTCCTTTCCTATCATGGATGTCACAAGGTACTGAATAAATATGGAAAAGGGGATGTCCGCATGCGAATATTTATAGGCCAAGATAAACCCTCTACCGCATACAAGAAATATTTCTTTAAAAAAAATTATTCCCCAGTGATGGCGATATGCCAGACGCTAACAAAGTTGAGTCATGGTTATATCCAGCTCCCAGATGGCCTTCAAGACCTCTAACAGCGCCTCTGCGACTGGGATGAGCACACCTTCTAGTTTATTATCACCCTATTTACGGGAGAACTTGGCCAAATCCGCCGCTGTGCTGCAGCAGACCCCTTTCTTGTGGGGCAAGTTTTCCTCTATCAGCAACCTCAGTCCCAGTTCTGTCAGCCTCCTTCCATCCTTTCCTGACCCTGCTAGCCCCAAATGTTACCCCAAGTAATTTTCTTCTTCTTCCCTTCCTCGTCACTCAGAAAATTTCCTTCTTTCAAATTTCTTCAAGACTATCATTCCGTCTGTCCCCTGCTCACCCTGCTTCACAATAAAATTTAGTGGAAGTCAGACACTGGTTATTAAGTACTTTTAGAGCATTCCTGATACAGTCCCATCCACCCAGTCACCAAGCCTTAATCTGCAGGCACCGAGGAGTCCTGGCCCTTTCTGTGCCAGGCAATCTGTAAGCCATCTCATCGCCACCCTATGAACTACAGAAAGGCAATACAGTATAGCACCTAGGAGCACAAGGCTCTGACCACAGTCCACCAGGCTTTAAATCCGAGGCTCAACACTAAGTGATCTCTGACGTTACTGAAGCTCCCTGTTTCAATCCTCACTGTTAAATATTCTTTTCCTCATACCTTTGGTGAATATTAATCAAGTGCATTTGTAAAGCACCCAGATTAATGCCTAGTAATTCTAAAACAGTATCATTTATTACCTATTTTACAGTTAAGGACAATTCTATGATCACACGGTTAGTAGTGGTGCTGAGATTGAAACCCAGGTTTCCTAACCCTAACTCCACACATCTCTACCCAATTACTCTCCTGTTCATAATATACTATCATAAATAAAACTAAACAGCGTTACATGAAGCTAAAGGACGACACAGGAAGTACTTTATTGTGTGACACCATGTAATAGAAGCCATATTCACAGGTTCTTAACCACATAATGTAGATGGCTCAGAAACTGCAGTACTGGTGATTCAAGTACTGATATTTTCTTTACATATAGCAAAATGGTTTTAAGTGATTTACAGTTTTAAAATAGAAGTTTATACTGATTATAGAGTGCTTTCATTTTTTTAAATAAAAGAACTACTCTCTTGAACCAAAAGTCATGTGGCTTTTAAAAACATTTAACATTTAAAGTGTTATCGTGTGCCCAAAATAATACATTATTCCTCTCATTTACAATAAATTTAGCGGTATGATTAGTCATACTAACATATACACAGGAACTATGCCTAAACCAAATTAAAGATTTAAAAAAATAAAATACTATTAGCAACCTAAAAAGTCAACAGAGATCAATAAATAGTACTGGAATTACACACTCAGTAATTTCTATAATTTAATATGCTAAAAATGAGGAAATAAACAGGACCAGGGGATGAGACATATATATAAGCAAAGTAATTTCATGATTTTCTTCATTTCGAGTCTATTGCTTTGTTATTTCCAGGAGGAAGTGTCTTGACTTCAAAAGTAACAAAGTACTTGAGAAGTGCATTTACATCTTCCAGTTTTAAGTGGTATTCTTGTGCTATTTTCTCAGCAGTCCATGTTTCTGGGTAAAGTTTATGATTATTGAGAAGTGTCAAGGCCTCTACAATGGAAATTTTGCCCTTGGGAATGTTCTTAATATCCATACCGAAGTGATGGCCTTTTGGCAATCTGAATTCCTTTGGCTCTTGCTGTATTTCAGCATCTTTTGCCTAGTATTGGGGGAAAAAAAGCAAGAAAGCCTTTTAGGGTAAGACCTGGCATTTTTTTATTTTTAGAAAATTCTTATTAGCACATATCTGCAGTACACAGTGATCACATTTATCATGGGGAGCTGGTACATGTGTGTAACATACCAGTTCTTTACTTCCTCTTCCCTCCCTCCCCTCCCTTTCTAGATCCCTTTTTTGCAAAAAAAAAACTATCTCCCTCATTTCTGTTATATGTCCTTTATTCTGTTCTTTAAATTATTTATACTTTGGATTTCTGTCTGTTTTCACATTTCTCAAATCAAATCTACACTATTTCTCTTCCAACAAATACTGCGTATGCTTCCTCAAACTGTATTTTCCCATGATAATGAGCAAGTGTGGCAGTACTTTTACGTTGTCTTTCCACAACTCTAATTAGATCACCATTAAGCAATTTAGGTAGCTCTAGAAAAATAATAACCGAATGAATACCATTCATTTACATTATTTCACATACAGGTTTACTATCACTAATACACAAATCTGAAATCCAAAGTGCTCTAAAATCCAAAACCGAGCGCCAACATGACACTCAAAGTAGGAAATTCCACACCTACTTCCTATGACAATCACAGTCAAAAAGCAGGTATACCAAAAATATTGTATAGAATTACCTTTAAGCGAGAGTAATTATCTAAGTTGCATATGAAACATTAACAAATTTTGTGTTTGAATTTGTGTCCTATCCCTAAAATATAACATTATGCATATGCAACTGAAACATGTCCGGTTCCAAACGTTTTAGACAAGGGATACTTGAACAGTTAAAAGAATAACAAGAGCGCTCACATTAAAAACTGCACTTGCTTTAGAAGAGCAGAATTCTGAAGCTGCCCCAATAGCTTACTTGATACCATCCATTCTGTTTTCAAGTTATGTGTTCCATATTCAATGGCCCAAACACCTTGAATGAATTCAAATATTGCTAGAGATCTTGTCTCTTCTGAGAAAATAAACTTCTATCTCCAACACTCTAATACAAGTAACTTAGACACACTCATCCCTCCGTCACTGTCCCATCCACTCTTCGTCTCTCCATTTGTGCTCTGTATTCCAGTCTTACTGCCTAGTCATTCCAATCAAACACCTTTTCTTTTTCTTTCAGTGTACCCTGCCTACTACTGCTTCTTGGAAAACACACCAAATCCCAAACTCCCTCCTTTATAATCAGTTTTTTTCCCTTTGGTTAAGGTTTAAAAGACAATCTCTGCTATCACTAATGACTTCCCAGGTGCGTAATTCAGAAGCACTTTTCAGACCTCAAAACTCACCACAGTACCTCAGTACATCTGGCATTGCTGATCACAACAGTCCAGTACCTGTAACTACCTTCCCCTTGGTTTCCACACCATACCCCTCAATTCTCCATCTGTTCTCCCACTGGTTCTTTCTTTTGTGTGTGTGCGATTAACTCAATTAAAAGATGTTAATCCCTCTTCAATTAATCTATAAATTCTAAATTAATTACACACAGTCTAAATAGGGCTTTTCCTTTCACTACCCCTTAAATTGTAATATGCTGGAAATTCTGGCCAGATTAGGGTTTTAGGGTTTATGATACACAATGCTCTCGGTCTTCCTGTGCCGTTAGGAAAAATGTCCAACATATTTGACAGAATTTTGAACAGCAATAAATAAATAACTCAAAAAGTCAGAAAATAAGTCATCTGCCATACAACAGGGACACTATCACTCATGTCTAAAGACATTACAAATCATTAAGAAAACTATGAACCGTCCAAAAGAAAACCATGAGGCAAAGAACTTTGACAATTCAATTTTTCATTAGCACTCTCCTTAAGGAGTCATTTTAGACTCTCTTATGCTTCCTGTGAAATTTTGATACCACTATATATATCTTTCTGTATTATATATTAAAAATTAACTTTTTCACTCCACAAGAGCCAATTTTCAATTGCATCACTTAATATAACATGTCAGAAACAATATTGGGAGTATGAGTATTACCTTAATAATAACATAAAGAACACGGGTATCAATCCCCGTACATAACCATCTGATGACAACTGAACCATGCCAGTTACCAGTCTTCTTGTGATTTTTTGTTTGTTTGTTTTTGTGGTGCTGGGGATCGAACCCAGGACCTTGTGCCTGCAAGGCAAGAACTCTACCACTGAGCTACATCCCCAGACCCAATCTTCTTTTGTTCTATGAAAGCTATATTAATAACTGTGTGCAAATAATCTACTGCTTATTTATAGCCAGGGCCAAAAAACTTTAGAATGGAAAAAAAAATCTGGAAGTTGTTAGCACTTCCATTTGCTTTAATGAAACTCTTCCTGCTACCCAGAACCGCCCCTCTGCAAACTCCAATTTATCCTTCAATTCACTGCCCCAGAAGGCATCTGTCATCCGCCTATTTCAAATAGGTCCTTCTGATACACTCTCATAATGATACACTGCTTATAATTATTTGTGTAAGCTTGTTCATCTCTTCAGTGGCTGTGTCCCACACAACACAAGCCTTGTGAGAATTAAGAACTAAGTTGGTTTTTTCATCACTACATACAAAGCACTTGTACCTGGCACTTAATTCCATAAAGACTTGCATGTACTAGGTGGAGGAACACACATGGGGATTCCTGTTCTCCATGCGTTCTGTGAATCTCCTAATTTTACATATCCTATCTGTGTACACCTTAAAAATACTAATTGTTTGCATTCCACAAATCCAACACTAATAGTCCTTGAGATCAGAACATACTTCAATTCACAGATAATTTAAAAATAAAAAATAATATTAAAGGTCTACCTTACTAAATCCTACAAATTCTGAAATAATACCAATAATCCACATTGGTGTATTCAATCAATACTTCCACAGATCTTCAGAATTCCGGTAAATAGCCAACAGTCACGGCTGGTGTCTTGCCTGGACCACTTTGCTTCAAGTTTTGCCAAAGCACTGGACTTTGGCCACAACCACTCCGACATTCTTACACTTGCAGAGAATTCGCTCTTACCACTTGCCATACTTCTCTTAGTCATTTTCCAGGAGATCCCAAAATAAATTATTTACTTAAATAAAAACTCATTACCGCCAGGGATGACGCAGGATCTTTGGAATCAACATATACATCTTTCAGTAGTGACAACAGCTTTTCATTTTTTCTGGCAATTTCTCTCTTAATTTCTGGATGACCTAAGGAGTAAAAAAAAGTCACAATATTAAAAAGGAAAAATTTCCTCTAAGATCCTACAGACTGAACGTAAAGCGGCCCCTTTCTTTTACATTAACAATCATTTGGACAGCTCGAAAGTACTTTCGATATCCTTCTGCGAAGACCCCTGGAGAAGACGGGCTGCACAGGAGGGCCCCAATTCCGATCCCTGTTTCAAACTTCTCCAACGTCAAGGGCAAAGTGGGGCGGGAAGGACGCCTCACGCGCCGGCCTGCCCCCCCCCCCGCCGATCCCCTTTCCCCCGCCGGCCTCCCTCCCCCCACCCCCGCGGGCCTGCCCGCCCCCAGCCGATGTCCCCGGTCCCCCGCCGGCCTGGTCCCCGCCTGCACCGAGGTCGTCCGCGCCCCGCGCCCGGCTCACCGCTCATCTGCTCCTGCAGGACGCTCTGGGTGGACGGGTGCCTCGGGGCCCTGGAAGGCTTCACCTTGCTGATTTCCCGCTCTGCTCGGTTCTCCAAGTTGAAATTCCTGAGCGCCCGAGTCACCCTAGCCCCCATACTCTCTACAACATGATGCATGCAGGCTCCGGACGCACGTGGGTGACCTCTGGGTGCACAAGCACGGCTGGGGCCAAACCAGCCGCGCACTGGGAAATAGCGAAATGTGCGCTCGTTGCCCCCTGGCGGCCAGGAGGCTATACAGCGCGTCCCTGCGCTTCATTACCCGAGGCGCGCTTCCTTCCGGGGCGGAGCACACTCTCCCAGTAGGGGCGGGCTCGCGCGGGAGGGGCGGGTCCGGGACCTCGCGCTGCCCAGTCAGAAGTCGCGAGCGGCTCGGAGGCGTGTTTATGTCGGCCCCGCCCCACTCGAGCGGGGCTGTACCGGCAGAGGTTGAAGCCCTTCGGCGGTGGGACGCCTAGGTCTCCCCGGAGAGGAGAGTCGGGTCTCTGGCAGGTCTTTGCCTGAGCTCAAACAAGCTTCTAAAATTTACCTTTCCTGCTCTTTTGTAAGGAAAATAACGAAAGGGTGTTCATTCTCGATCAGTATTTGTTCTCAGACGCTTTTATTTCTGTGTCCCTTGTTTTCCTGACCTCTTGTCTCATGTGTTTCTCAGCCACCGTTTTCTTTTTCCATTTTCTTATACTTTCCATTTCCAGCTCTTTTTTGTTGTTGTTGTTGTTTGTTGTTTTGAGACAGGGTCTCGCTGTGCAGTTCAGGCTGGCCTTGAGTTCATTTTGTAGCCCAGGCTGGCCTTGAACTGTCAACGATCCTCCTGCCTCAGCCTCCCAAGTGCTGGGGTTACAGGCAGGCGCCACTATGCCCAGCTAGTGCAACTCATTTTCACAAGGAATGGTATTCGTTTTAGTTATGCTTCCCTCCCACTTCGCTGTATTTTTATTACTAATTTGATTTTTTTATTTGATTTGATTTTTATTTTATTTGATATTTTTATTACTAATTTGATTTACTTCTGTATACTGTGAAGCACCGAATCAGCCTGTTCCTATTTACCGTATTGTTCCTCTTCCTTCCTTGGTCTTTTTTAATTTGTAAAGTTGAAAGATAGTATAACTTACCGTCAGAAAGTCAGTGTGTTTGGGAAAAAGCACATCTTACCTGTTCTCCCCGCTTCTCCCGTCCTCCACCTCTTGTCTCCATTTCTGATGGTTTCCTTGATCCTTAAGCTTCCTTAGAAATACTCTGATGGGTGCAGAAGAAAAGAAACCACTCATGTTCTCACAAAATCTGCTTTGAGTGCTCTCAGCTCTTCTTAGTAATTAAAATACACTGGTTGTTTTAAGCGGTTCATAGTAAGAAAAAAATCGATATAAAGATGAAATTGAAGAAATTTTTAAAATTGGAGTAAAGAAAGGGACAGTTTTAATAAGAAAAGTAGTCGTCCTAGTTTGGGGTTTTGCAAGGGGAACAATATAATACAGGACACGTTTTATAAGATTATTTATAATAGTCACCCAAAGAATCATATTCAAAGAGAGTGTAGGAAATTTGTGCACACATGAATGACCAAAGAATCCAGCTGAGGGCCTGGATCCCACCATAATGTCTTGCATGAGTCCAGCTGAAGACCTACAACTCATAACAATGCCTCCCACTAGTCCAGCTGGAGGCCCAGAGCCCATGACAGTGTCTCATGCAGGCCTGTTTTGAGGATCTGCGCTGGGAAGGCCCAAAGGTCAGTGGTGGAATCTAGGAAGTCTGTGCCAGCAGAATGAAGGATCTGTGCTAGCAGGCTGAGGGATCTGCACTGGAGTCAGGAAGCAGTGCTGAAAATAACCAGAGCTCCCCAGAAAAGTACCACAACCGTCCTCAGCAACAGTGAGGTCCAGAGCTCCTCCAATGATCAGGGACAGCCAAGTTCCTATCAGGGAAACCAATGCAAAAAGCTTCTCCAGGAGACTGAGCAGTGTTTCATGTTCCCCTCCAAAGCCAGGAAACGATGCTCAAAGTGAGGACCAGAGCTCCCCCAAAGTGAACTGAAGCTACTCTCAGTGACAACAAGGTCCTGAGCTCCTGCTTTGATAAGAATAGCTAAATTCATCAGGAAAGCCAGCATGACAAGGTCCTCCCTCCTGCAGAATAGCCCAAGAGAACCAGCAGCTTCTACCAGCTCCCAACAGCTCCACTTCTTCCTCTCCAGGTCTGCCTCTTATGCTGCTGGCCACAATCCTCAGGTGGGCCTCCCACACCCAGCACCATGCTGGTTAAGTTCAGCTGGGTGTTACAAGTTGATGACCAGTCGTCAATCAAACACAGTAGTGTTGCTATTAAATATAATTCTTAATCATAGTGGAAGCACTACAAGGAATATAGCTTCCACTACTGATTATGATATGTTTTTACAAGGTTTGGTAAAATTCTGAGTGCCTCAGAGGAGTTAATTTGGAAGTTATCCTGAAGGTGGCAGGCTGCTCCAAGATTTCCATCTTGTAGACAAGCATGTTTGTAATTCAGTGCTTTTCAGCCAGTTTCTGTGGATGCCAAGAAAGTTCCATCTGCTTCATTACGTCTCTTATGCACTTTAACAATTATAGTAGCAATTCACTCACTGCTTGTTAAAATATTTTAAAAGTGAAGATTTCATTTTCATAGAAATTCCACCAAACTTCAGGGTGCATAAAAATTATTAGAAGTTACAATGAGTACTGAGGGAAGTGATCACAAAATGAAGGAATTCTTTGAATTCCTATGGTGAGGGGAGAGCTTGGATTCAGCATCCTTTAAGAAGCATCTAAATATAAGCCAGCTGCTTCACCTGGCCCTGCCCTGGTGCTGTGCTAACCCTCAGAGAGGAAAATAGAAGGCAGATGTGTGTCACCAATGCACAGTTAGATCCAACCTTTATGAATCACTATGGAAATAAAACCTAACCATAAATGCATAATTCTAGTTCTTCTTGTCAAAACATGTAAATGAACAGGAAGTTAAAGACCCTTTGGACTTGGGTGAAAGGGCTGAAATACCTCAGTCCCAGGGAAAGTGTAACTAGGATGCTGCAAAAATTAAGGTTCAACCAGATTAACTTGTGCAGAGTTGACTTCTGGCTGCAGTTTGTTCAGGCATAGACAACCTGTCCAAGGCCTGGACTCTGGCTCAGGGGTCCGACTTGTCTTTCTGTTCGTTTGACATTTATTTGGTACCTACTGTGTATTAGCAATGTGAAATATGCTGGATACAAGGAAACAAAACATAAAAATCCCTGTTCTCAATAAATTCGTATTCTACTGTGTTGGCAAGACCCTGGGTTCCTTTCGTTAATATCTTAAGATTTTCACTCCACTTAGATAAAAGCGTAATTTATTGTTTGTTTGTTTTGAGAGAAGGTCTCACTATGTAGGCCAGGCTGGCCTCAAACTCATAACTGTCCTCCTGCTGGGATTACAAGCGTTTGCCACCATGCCCTGCTTAGCTCGTGTGTCATTCGTGCTGCTTTTCATTGTCTAGACGAGCAGAAGAATGTTTAAAAAAGAACCAAAACTATGTTGAAACTGTAGGTGAACATAAGAGATAAAATAACTGAATGGATGAAAGTAAAGTAAGACTCATCCTTCAAGGATTTTATGACAATATAGATATTCTAAATTCAACTTTTATTGCTGATTAGCATGCTCTGGCAGTATTGGATTCATTGCAGCGGGAATGTGGGTGAGAATCACCTGGCTAGACTCTGGCCATTGCACTGTCCTTCCTTCCTTCCTTCCTTCCTTCCTTCCTTCCTTCCTTCCTTCCTTCCACAGTATTATGTATTCTTTGGAGGACTGCAGATACGAAACATAGGAGACACAGAACTGAAGGATGCCAGGACAGACTCCAGAGGTTCACTGAACAAAACCCAGACCCATAGGGCCAGCACAGCAGGGTTACGGAGGAACGCCATCCTATGGAGGTGTTGGTGTTCAGAGAGCACCTCTGAACGGGGCTTTTGGGCCAGGACTACAGCGCAGGAGCCAGGGAATTTGTAAGAGTCCAATTCATGTAATGCACAAGGTTCCCAAGCTTGGATCCTTTCATAGTGATGTTTGTGAAACCTAGAGGGGGCTGGGGAGGTAGAACAAATGCGGCCATATGCAAATCTAGTACTCAAATTGAGAAACCCTAGTTCTCATAAAAGTACCAACCAGCATTTATGCTTAGATGTCTGCTTTGTAATTACTGCACTCAGCTTTTGTCATTGTGTTAGTTTCCCATGGCTACTAACAAGTTACCGTAAAAGACTGAATAATCTTTTATCTCCCAGTTCTGCAGGTTAGAAATCCACTGTAGGTCTGAAGAGAATACAATCGAGGTGTCGGCAGACTTGTTGCCCTCCCAGAGGCTCTAGGGGAAAATCCCTTTCCTTGGTTTTCTGTTTGTGAAGGCTTCCTGCACATCTTGGTAGCCTGCAGTTATATCACTTCATTGTCTCATATCCTCCTCTGTGACTTTCTTGCCTTCCTCTTTCCTTTTTAATACGATTACACTGTGCCTACATGGATAGTCCAGGATAACATCTTCATCTTAATCGCCTTAATCGAATGTACAAAGTACTCTTTGCCAGGTAAGAGAATATGCACAGGTTAGAGGATTAAGAGATGAACATTACTGGGAGACCACTGTTCTACCAGTCATCACTTGAGAATATCCACATCTACAAGTACCCCTGCCCAAATTAGTAACGTATAAAGACAGAATAGTAGAGAGAATGCCTAGTATGCTTCACTCAGCCTGATATAGTATGTTACAGTGAAACCGCATGATCACTGAAAGAATAAAACTCTTACTTTACTACCACTTTGTTAGTTGTGTATACTGCAGAGATCCAATTTTTACAGCCCAAATCTCTGAGTTCCTCTGGAGAATTTGCATTTATCAATCAGCAAAAGTATGAAACTCCTTGCGTATAAACCAGCAGAAGTCTATCACTCTTCTTTTACTCCTCTCTGTTATTTCCCTCACAGCTTCCCCACCTTTCCTTTTTCTTTGCATTGGTTTTTCAACCCTTCTCTCCTTGTATCCACTTGTAGAATGTGGATGCTCCTGCAGAAGACAAGCCATTTGTGAGAGAGTTGAGCAGTTCTCTGGACCAGAGGAAGACAGCTATATAGAAAAGAGGAGAGAGGAAAAAGTAGAGGCAACAGCTACTGGGAGAAAATGGGAGATAAAGAA